CGTGGCAGGACCGCTCGCGGTCGTGGCAGGAGGAGCCCCCGCCGTGGCAGGAGCTCTCCGAGCTGTGGCAGCCTCTGTTCTCGCGGGAGCACATTTTTGGGGGTTGGCGGGGCAAACCTGGGGAAGGAGAGAGGTTTGTCGTTAGAGGCAGGAAGTGCTTTCCCCGCTCCCATCTGGGGTCAGGTTTCCTCGCTGTGTCATGAGCCTGTCGGGGCTCAGCAGGATTTGCCTTTCTGCCCGTCCCGTTTCCCCAAGCTGGGGCTTCATTCCAGTGCTGGATCAACCAGGACCATCTGAACACTCTCATGAGCCCCCACAGCAGCCCTGAACCCCATTGCTGCTGGGCTCCATGAGCTCATTCCCTGCTCTCCCTCGAGCTCATTCCCTGCTCTCCCTCGAGCTCATTCCCTGCTCTCCCTCGCTGCACCCTGGGATGGTCTCAGGGCTGTGTAACGGAGGAGCAGAAGCTCTGTGGGATTCCAGGGTATCCTGAACCAGCAAGAGGCATCTTGGCGAAGATCCCAAGAATTTGTAGCCTGGAGGAGCCCTGGCACAGCTGGGAATTTACAGCCAGGACTGGCAGAGGAGCATCAGCAAAATGCCCTTCCAAAGCCAGGGGCCCAAAATGAAGACCCTCCTGTGCCTTCCTCCCTCCCTGTGCCCTCTGCTCCCTCTGTCCCCTGGGGATCCGGGGCCAATTTCCTGAGGAGAACCCCCTGTGCACATCTCAACCCCTTCCTCAGGATTTCTGGGATTTCAAGGAGGCAAAAGGCATCCAGGATGTGGCTGAGCTGAAAGCTGCTCATGCTGCTCCTTCCTCTCCCAGTTTAAATCCACTTTTTCTGTTCTTCCTAAATTTCTTCAAGGACAGCTTAATACGTTCAGCTTAAGGAGCTTAGTAAAGGAGTCAGGTTTATAAATGCAATTAAAATTCCCAGCCTAAGCCCAAGGTCTTATGAAAGACCTGTTTCCCATTCATTCCCAAATCCCATTATTTATTTTTCTTAATTTCCAGTTTGTCCTTTGGAAACTAGAAAGTGCTGGAATAATCCTAATATATTTACAGGTGATAAGAACAATAAATTTGGCTTCTCAGCATAGGAAGTCCTGATTTTTGAGAGCACAAAACGGCCCCAGCCACAGAGCCAAGATTTGGCTCTCAATACCCCCAGATGCATCTCCCTAAGAGCAAAGCCCAGCTCAGTGCAGCCAATTTTAATCAGAATTAAAAGTTAGTGGTTGAGCAGCAACTTACCTCAGCTGTGAAGGCTCTAGAGAGGGAGTGGAGCTGAGTGAATGAGCTGCTCTCCCATCCAAGGACTTTTATACAGTTCCCAAATCTCTTCCTGAAAATGCAATCACCCCCTGGGGAAAGATGACCGAGGTATTTACAAAACAGCCACACCTCTAATTACCCACCACCTTCAAAAGCTTATTCAACCCGATTTCGGTGATTGACTTGTCAGCCCGTGGATTGTCTTCCTCCTTACACACCTTTAATTGCCACCCTGGCCCCTGCAGGTCGTAATGCCCAGCAGTGAAAACCCTGTGGGTGGGTCGACTGTCTCACTGTCAGGACAGGATGAGTTTTCTGTTGCAAAACGGATGGCAAAGGTGGTGCAGTTCTGGGTTCCATCTCCTCCCGAAACCTCTCACCTGCAGTCTGGCAGGAAGGAGAGGCCACGGGGCCCAGTCCTCTCTGACTGGTTTGGTGGGACTGGGCTCTCGGGCAGTGGAGGAGAAGGACACCACTTTTGTGTCCTCACCATAAAAAATGGCCAGTTCTTAGAAAGCCCTCGTTGCACCTTCCCCAAAAACATCTTTAAGGTTGTCTTCACCCCGCAAGACACCTGCAGGCACCAGAAACTCATCAGCTGAGGGCCCCTCTCCATCTCCTTTCTCCGACAGGGTCATTTCCCAGGGCAATAAAAGCAGGATAAGGAGCCTGTGGTTCTGAGAGCTGTGACAGGGCAGCGACCTGGCAAGGCCAGGCAGCTCAGGCCACTTTAGGAAGTCTTGGCTTAGACCTGGGAGCACCCCAAAAACGTAACGTGGCTTCCTCAGCACGAGGGGGGAAACTCAAAATGAGAAAGAACAGGAGAAGAATTTCACATGAGGTTGAAGTTCTTTCCATGGAGCCCTGGACCAGCTGCCCAGGGAAGGTGTGGATTCTCCCTCTCTGGAGACATTCCAAACCCACCTGGACGTGTCCCTGTGTCACCTGCTCTGGGTGATCCTGCCTTGGCAGGGGGGTTGGACTGGGTGGTCTCCAGAGGTCCCTTCCATCCCCAAAATCCCACGATTCTGTGATTCTCTCCCTGTGTTCATCTACTTCACACCTAATTTGTGGCCATTTCCCTCTTGCTGGCACAGTCACCATGTCAGCTTCCATCACTGGCATTTTTCCTGGCCAGCCCCAAGAAGCCCCAAAGTGGAATTTCTCTCTGCAAATCTCTGTTTCTGTCCCATTTTAATCTTTTCATGTAGCTGTGATGGGAAAGAGGTGCCCACAGCAGCCTCTTGTGCAAACCTTGCACCCGTGAGCAAGCTGTGAGTAGAACGCCGGCTCAGAGCCCACGTAGCTCCCCACACGTCCCCAGCTCACCCGGCTCTGCCCTGGGGCAGGAAGGGGGCAGCTGGGGGCAGAGCAGCTCCTGCAACCCCGGGGCACCGGCCCTGGCACTGGTGAAATCCTCTGTGCAACCAGGGCTTGGCAACGGCGCCGGTTCCTCCTCTGCCCTCCCGTCACCACCGTGACCGTGGAATTTGGGCAGGGATCACGTGTTCTCACCCCCTTTGCACCAGAGCTCCCTCCTGGGAACCACGGGGCTTTGTTGGGCAGAGGTGGCTGAAGCCCAGGGGCGGCTCCCACTCAAACAATCCCCGGAGTTTCTGTCCAGAGGCGCCAGTTGGAGACTTTCATGCCGTGTTTACCCCTCAGCTCCACGAGAGGGGCCACGGCTCCGGCGAGCACGGACACGCTCGGGGATGAGAGTCCCTCGTTATCAGGGCTCGTCGGGACAGGGAGGACTCGTTCCTGCCCTGTTGCACAACCAGTGGGGAGGGAACCTGGCTGTGCCAACACATCAAACCCACCCTGTGCCTCCTCCCAGCCCCACGTCGGAGGGGAGCTCTGGAAAAGGCTGGTGGGATGCAGCTCCAGCTCCTCCTGCTCAAACCCTGGGTGTAAGACCATCTGGGTCTATTAAACTATTATATCACCTAAACTTGTGGAGTGCTCTTGGCAGAAGCCTCCAAAAACCGGCCAGGAGGGACAAGGAATAAGAAATGGACTTTTAAAGTGTTTTCTATTTCCTTTGGTTTTGGAGGGATTGAAATTTTGGGTGGTTTTTGGTCAGTCAGTTGAATAGACACAAAGATTTGAACCCCCCAGACTTGGTTTTCTGGAAGTCTCCTGGATTTTTTTTGAGCTTTCAGAGTTCTTTTACTACTTTTGATGCTCTCAGGTGAATTAGGGAAAATCACAGAAGTCAGTAACGAAGTGGTAGATTTTAGAAATTTAAGTAGACTCAAATAAATTATAAAGCTGCCTAATTTTAGAATGGAATTTAATGTGGCTGGTGTGAAAATCTTGTGTAATGTTCCCTGCACAATGGTCTTAGAGCATTTTACAGTGTGAAGGATCCCCGTTGTGGTACCAAACATGGGTTTAGAGCTGAGAGGATTTGGGCCTTTGGTGTTTTCCAAACATCAGGGCAAAGTTTTCTGGACTTCTACTGAGCTGAAAGGGCCAAAATCCCCACAGGTGGGTGAAAGCAGAACGGTAAAAAATAACCAGTGTGATTTCACGTCTCACTTTTAAATGGGCACAGAACTGTGGGTGTTTTTTTTCCTCTGTAACAACTATTTGGGTGAGTCAAACAACCGCAGTCCTGGCAGATGAAACGTTTGGCAAAGGCTGGATGTTCAACCTCCCCCGCGCTGCCCCGGCACGGAGGAACCATCTCTTCCTAACCTGTGCCTAATTTAGGGCCTGATCCCATCCAGAGATGTCGTGAGGGAGGTTGTGGAGCAGAAGCCAACGAGCTTGTTTGAGTTGCCTCACACGAGGGTTGACGTGCTCGGGTTGCACCATCCCTGCAACTCCCTGGGACAGGAGCCCGGCGTGGAATTGTTCCCAGGTAAACAACCTTTCACTCCCCAGGTCACGCTGTAAATAATAATCAGGTGGAAAACCCCCGGGAGTTTTGCATATCTCCTTCATTTAGCTCGTGGGGTGTCCCTGGGGGGGGTCTGGGCAGGGAACAGCTTTTCCATGGGGAGGGAACAGCTCTGACTTCGGCAAGAGGCAAATTAAGAACAGAATCCCAGAATCCCACAATAGTTGGGGCTGGAAGGGGCCTGTGGAGATCACCCAGCCCAAGGCAGGGTCACCCAGAGCAGGTGACACAGGGGCACGTCCAGGGGGGTCTGGGATGTCTCCAGAGGGGGAGATTCCAAGCCTTTCCTGGGCACCTGTCCCACCCTCCATGGAAAGAAGCTCTTCCCCATGCTGAGGTGGAACTTCCTGAGGTTTAGTTTATGGATATCACTCCTTGTCCTGTCTCTGGCACCACTGAAAAGTCTGGCACTGTCCTCTTGCCATCTGAACCTTCTCTTGCTGTTGAAAACACTGTATTTTAATTCTATTAAAACCGATGTTACATTTCAGTGTGGCTCTAAAATATACACAAAAAATGTTGGCAGAAACACTTTGTCCTGTGGAGATTCCTCGAGGATCCGTTTGTGTTTTGGGTGAAGGAGCCAGAAATGAAAGAAATCATTCAAATATTAAAACTACGCCCAGGCTACGGAGTTTTATTTTCCAGCCCGTGATCCAAAGGGACACGGAGAGAGGAATCTTTTCCTGTCACCAGTCACAAACCACTTCTCCCAGCAGTGCCATCACCGGCTCAGCCCCGTGTGAGGGACACGAGGAACACGTGTCATCATGGAAAAGCCACCCTGTGGCCCACCCAGGGGCACTTCTGGCGGGTCAGTCACTTCTTCTGCCTGGGGGGCCAGTGGCTTTTCTGTTTGCACTGCTGGCTCTTGGTGCTGGGAACGACCACGGGGCACTTCTGCTGCAGCACCTGGGAGCACCCACCCCCCCCCGGGCTGAGCTCTGGGCCTGAGACCCCCCCGGGGGCGTAGCCAGACCCTCCACTGTAGTACCCCGGTCCCCCAGTGACCCCCCCTGCCAAGGCATCGCTGGGGGGTGCAGGGAATCCGTATCCGGACCCTCCTCCCAAATCCCCAGGGTGGAGGGTGGACCCCCCCTCGCCCCCCAGGCTGTGTCCCCAGTCCCCTCCTCCCCCCCTGGGGGCATAAACGGGGACTGTCCCCCCCGTGCCACCCCAGCCGGACGTGCCCCCGCAGCCCCCGCCGGTGATCACCACAGAGCCCTCCCCGCCACACGTGTAGCCCCCCGAAACGCTGTAGGGGGGGGACGCTGGCACGGGGGGGCAGTAGGAGGGTCGTGGGCTGTAGGAGGGCCGTGGGCAGTAGGAAGGTCTCCGGGTGTAGGTGACTGAGCCTTCCCTACCACAGGAGAAGGAGGCGCGTCCGAGGGGGTCGGAGAAGCTCCCGGAGCAGAACCCTCCGTGGTGCAGGGAGATCTCCCTGGAGTAGCCCCGGTGCCTGTGGGCACATTTGGCTCGGAGGCACCGGTAAAGCTGCGAGAGGAAAGAAAAAAAAAACCACCCAAATTTGCCCAGTTTCGCTTCATTTCGCACCTTGGCAGGTGGGGGGGGTTCAGGGGGTGGGGAGGGTTCAGGGGGTGGGGAGGGTTCAGGTGGTGGGGCAAGAAAAGCTTTGTCAGGGCCTGGGGCAACTCCAGCCTTCAAAGCAGGGCACTGCCGAGCTCTTGGAGAGCATGGAATGGTTTGGGTTGGAAGGGACCTTAAAGATCATCCCCTTCCAACCCCCTGCCATGGGCAGGGACACCTTCCCTAGACCAGGTTGCTCCAAGCCCCTGTTTTTCAAATCCAAGGGTATCTGGACTATTCCTGGGATAGTTTTCCTCCTTTTTATCTCCAGGGTGTATTTCCAGAGAACCAAAACCTGAGGGACATTCTTTTACCATCTAAGAACTGCCCTGGCTTTCCCCACTCACCTTCATGTCTGCAGCTGCAGAGCTGCAAAACCAGCCAGGATTATCCTTGTTTCTGTTTTCAGCCTGCTGCAAGAGCAGTGGATCAAAGTTTCCACTCCCCAGGACATTTCTGGCTCTGTTATTGCACCCCCAAAGGTCTTTTATGGAAGGTAATTGGCCCAGACATAGAGGTTTGTGGCCATTCTGAAGCAGAGCTTGTTATTAAATAACATCAAAAATGGGTCCCAGGCTTTGGAAGCACTTTCAGACCCACAGAGGTTGTGCAGTCACCACGTGCTGGTCCCACCACAGACTAATCTGGGTTTTGCCCTCTGGCTCCCAGTCTGGTGACTGGATTTCACCTTTCTCCCTAAGGATTTGATCCATCCAGAAGAAACTGTCCAGATCCCAAGGACTTTGCTCAGGCAAGCACAGGTCAAGGTCCCAAAGGAAGGTACCTCTCATGAATATGAATTAATAAAGTCTCAGAAAAAAATCAGACTTACCTTCTTGAGCCATAGGAAACACATTTAGAAGGTAAAAGTCGACTGAATGAGGAGCTTTAACAGCCTCAGGAACATTTATATGGTGTTTAACATATATGGGAAGTGAGACACCCTCGGGAATGATAAGGATTATTTACCTATCAAACTGGGATTTCAGTGTTTGACTCATGGCGACGATCCATATCTCCCTTCACCCAGTAATTGTTACTCCTGCCTAATGAGCCCGTTCCTGAGCTCCTGCCCTGGGCTGTGGAGGAACATTCCGGCCCCCAGAGAGGTGGGGGAGACCCGGGGGAGGTGGGTGGGAACGTGGGTGTAGGGGAATGCAGAGGATTAGGGAGCGTGGGGCAGAGGAGCAGCTGGTGGCACTTTGATCCCTCCAGCAGCTCCCTGGGGGCTCCAGGGGGAGATTTTCTGAAGGAAAAACATTTGCATCCAAACCAGAAGGTCACCAAAAGGGACTGATTCCCCAGTTGGGAATTTTGCAAGGGTGCCAGAGATGCTCTGGGAGGTTCATGAGAGAACTGTGGAGGTGAGAGTGTCCTAATGCTTAAACCCAGCATGGATGGTGTTTTAAGGCAGGATCATGCCTCCAAAATGCCTGCCTTCCTCCTTTCTCATATCCTCCTTCTGGCTTGGAAAGGGGGCTCGGGGTGGTCTGGAGGGTTGCAGATCTGAGCTGCATCCCCGCCCTGCTCCAGCCTGGCTCTGCAGAGCAGCTCGTGCACTTTGGGCCAGGCCTGCTCGGCTCCAAGGAATTTTGCTGTGATGACAACAAGTCCCAGCTTTGGCCAAAGGCCAAGTCTGTGGGGCAGAAAGCCTTGCCCAGGGTGCTGGTGCTGCCACAGCAGGTTGTAAAAGCCTGGGCAGGGAGGGATTTGAGGCCTGGAGGCATCTTTTGGAGTGTGTGGAGCTGCCTGAGGGACTTGCTGCTGGTTTTATTTCCTTTACACCCCAGGGCTGATTTGGCTCCCTCAGTGTGTGGGGCTTCCCTCTGGGAACAGATCATGGAATCTCAGAATCCCTGAGGTTGGAAAAGCCCTCCAGGATCATCGAGTCCCCCCCGTGCCCCATCCCCACCTCGTCCCCCAGCCCAGAGCACTCAGTACCACAGCCAGTCCTGCCCTGGGCACCTCCAGGGCTGGGCACTCCCCCACCTCCCTGGGCAGCGCCTTCCAAAGCCTCACCACCCTTTCCAGGAGGAAATTCCTCCTGATGTCCAACCTGACCCTCCCCTGGCACAGCTTGAGGCTGTGTCCTCAGCTGCCCTGAGGTTTGCAAAGCTGAAGGAAGGGGAAGGTGGCAGGGACGTGATGTTGTTGTTCACTTTGGGCATCCACAGCTGCTCTTGGGCCATCCCCAGTTCCAGCTCCTCTGAACTGAGCCTGGTGGGCCTGGTCAGGTCTCCCATCAGCTCCACAGATGTGGCCATTGGGTGCTGGTGCCTCAGAGGACGTGGGACCAGGAGCTGGGGTGGCTGCACCATGACCAGGCACCAAAGGGGAGTTGGGTGCTGTGGTTATTTGGCATTTTGGGCTCTGCTGTTCCTCTACCAGGTAGAAAACGAAGGTCCAAACACTCTGGGGCAATAAACTGGGTGACTTTAGAGCTTCACCTCCAGCAAAGCACCACTGATCCCATCATCTCCTTTACAAGGAGGAGTGAAGCACCTCATCAGATGGATTTCCACCTTCCAAGACCAGGAGATGCTGGTTGGTAACATGAGAAATAAACAAACTTCCCAAAAAAGGCAGTTTTGAGCTATTATAATATTTATTAGATATAAAAAGGGCCTTTGGAAAAGCAGCACAACATTATCAAAGGCCTCCCAACACCAGCAGCAGGGCACGGGGTAAGTCCTGGCGTTCTCAGCACAGGGATGCAGCATCCAGGGAAGAGGAGAGGACACAAGGGAAGGATCAGGCAATCAGAGCCAGGTCTGGAGGTGCCCCAGCAGAGGCTCAGCTGGTCCTGCTGGACCTGGAGCTGCCCCAGGCTGTCACTTCTGGCCGGAGGGGAAGCAGCAGCTCTGCTTGGACTGGTGGGATATGCTGGGGATGGCGATGGGGCACTTCTGCTGGGAGGACTGGGAGGACCCTCCAGAGCTGATGATGATGGTCTGGCCCGAGGAGCCACCCCCAGATCCTCCCCCGCAGCATCCAGAGGATCCTCCACCTCCCACGATGATCTTCCCTCCTGAAGAACCCCCACCACATCCTCCTCCTATGCCATAGCTGGATCCTCCACCACAGTATCCAGAGGAACCTCCACTGCCTCCTCCCACAATGATGGTCTTTGATCCTGAAGATCCACCACCGTACCCTCCTCCCACTCCATAGCTGGACCCTCCACCACAGTATCCAGAGGAACCTCCACCACCTCCACCTACAATGATGCTCTTTGATCCTGAAGATCCACCACCATAACCACCACCATATCCTCCTCCTATCCCATATCCTGAGGAACCTCCACTGCAACATCCAGAGGAACCTCCACCACTGCTTCCCCCTCCAATTATGACCTTTGCTCCTGAGGAACCACCTCCGTATCCTCCTCCTATGCCATATCCTGAGGATCCCCCACTGCAGCATCCAGAGGAACCCCCACTGATTCCACCTCCAATGATGCTTTTTGATCCTGAATATCCACCACCGTACCCTCCTCCCACGCCATAGCCACCACTGCATCCTCCACTGCCTCCACCTACAGTGATGGTCTTTGACCCTGAAGAGCCATAACCACCATAACCACCACCGTAGCCTCCTCCCAGCCCATAGCTGGATCCTCCACTGCAGCATCCAGAGGATCCTCCACCACTACCTCCACCCACAATGATGCTCTTTGATCCTGAAGAGCCACCACCGTACCCTCCTCCTATCCCATAGCCTGAACATCCTCCACTGGAACCTCCACCTCCAATGATGACCTTGCCTCCTGAAGATCCACCACCATATCCTCCCCCTATCCCGCAGCCACCACTGGATCCTCCACTGCAGCATCCAGAGGATCCTCCACTGCTTCCTCCTGCAATGATGACCTTGCCTCCTGAGGACCCACCGCCGTACCCCCCTCCCAGGCCATAGCCAGAGGAGCTCCCGCAGCAGGAGGAGCCCTGGGACTGGTAGCTGGAGGAGCCGCCCCCGTGGCACGAGGAGCCCCCACTGTGGCACCCACTGGACTGGGAGGACATCCCGTGGCAGCCTCCGGAGCTTTGTCTGGAGCACATCTTGGAGCTGGGAACCTGCAAGGAACAGCACTGTCAGAAAGGAGAACCTTGGAGGGGCAGCTGAGCCTTCACAGCAGACAAAAAAATGGAAGAGGACCCAGGAAATGCCCCTTTTGCCCCATTCCTGGAGCTTTAACCTCCCTCACCCTTGTGAGCTCCCTGGGAGTGCCCTGCAGGGCACAGCAGTTACAGGAACACTCTGTGTGCAGGGAGACTGTGAGCACACATGTGCACACATGCTCTGACACGCTCCGAGCTGGCAGCCTGAAACATTTCATCCCTCTGGATGCCCCAAACTCCCAGCAGCTGAAAATTCAGCCCCCAGAGCATCGGCTGCAACTCCCCCCTCTAAGGAAGGCAGTTCTGTTGGCACATCAGGTGGGTTTCTGGAGCCACCACAGTTCCCTCGTTCAAAGAACCCTCAAAGACCGGCTGGTGGAGGGATCTCCCTGCACTGGGGTTCCAGAATTTTCCGTATCAACGGCCTTACCTTCGGTGGATCTGGGAACTGTGTGATGCTCGGCGGCGGGTGAGTGAGGAGCCCTGGGATGGGTGAGCTTTTATATCATGTACATCGCGCTCCCGAGGGAAGTGAGACACCCTAAGGAATGCTGAGAGGTTTATTGACAGAGAGCTTGGCTCTGGCTGCCTCCTTCTTTGACTCACTTGCAGCACAGGGGTGATGGGAAGGAGATGCATCAACCACTTTCTGCAGCACAGTTTATAATTCTATTTAATGATTCGCTTCCGGGAGCTTTGCCCTCAAACGCTGGGGGCAAACGGCTTCTTGGGGTCTGATCTGGGGGGGTCTGATCTGGGGGCTCCCTGATGTGTTTCTGATGAGCTGCAGCTTCTTGGGTGCTCAGCAGAGAGTGGAGATGCTGAGGGGTGGAGGCTGGAGTGAGTTTGGGCCAGAGAATGATGGAAGGACGAGGGTGAAGGATGTGCTGGAGCAGAGCTCCAGAGAATTTGGGAGAAGGGAGTTTCCTCAAGGACTGGCAAGAGGGGGAGCTGGATGGGGAGCAGGAGTATGTCCAGTATGTCCTTTCCTGCTGGGAAAGGCTCAACAGGCCAGAGGTACCTCCTCCGATGGAGAGCACTGCGTTGGAGCAGCCCAGACCCATTTCAGAGGACACTGAGGGTGACAGAGGCAGGGGGAACATTTCCCCTCATCCTTTCGGGAGCCTGAGGTGGAAGGGGCTGTTGGACTGAGCAGAGAGGTCTGTGCTCAGCTCCAGCTCCCAGGGGTCCCAACCTCCAAACTGGAGTGAGTGAAGTCTTGAAACCCTTCTGTTGGCAAAGATGCCTTTGAAGGCCATCAAGCCCCTTCCCTTGAGCTCAGGCAGGAAACATTTCCTCTGCCTCAGCAGGACCCATTTTCTGAGGGTCCTCACTGACCAACCCTCCCACACGTGAGCTGGGGAGTCACCTGGGTATTTTCCTTGCTGCAGAGGGACAGTTTGCCAGCACAGCTGTCCCAGCACTCATCCTGCCACTGCGTCACGCGTGCTTGGAGCCTGACAGCAGATCCACCCTCCTGGGACACTGAGCAGAGAGGGAGTAATCGGGGATTTTAGCTGTGAGGACTCCTGACAGCAGCAGGTCCCAGCCCCGTCACCATGAATGTGATCTTGGGAGTGCACACACACCCCTCTGGTATGGGGACAGGACCATCAGCACCAGGAACACTCGTGCAGGGGGGGTCCTTCCCTTTGCTTTGGACTCCTTCCAGTGCAAAGAGCCTTATCTGTGCTCTCATCAGCAGATCTGAGGTGTCACCGCAGTCCTGGCTCTCAGCTGAGCGTGGGTGTTGCACCGCTGAGGATCTCAACACCGTGATCCCTTCCGTGCACTGACGTGTAGGGACTTGCACAGAGGGACACCCAGGATTAGCAGCTCATCAGCACACAGGGACACCCAGGATTAGCAGCTCTTTGGTACCCAGGGAGTGAGGAAAGGCCGTGGAGGCTTTTGGAAGGGGTGGTGAGAGGGGCTCACAGTCCAACGATGGATTGTGGAGACCCCAAGGTTGGACCCTGCAGGGACTGGAAATGCTGAACCTGCAGCACATGGACTTGTTTGGTACCTGCCAGGTGTGGAGGAGAAGTGTGGCTGGATCCAGAGCTGCTGGAGGGGTCGGCACTGCCACAGCCTCTCCCAGCCTACAGAGCGACTCTGATCCCTGCGCTGGGTAAAGGGGAGGGGGGAGGCAAAAGGCTTCGTGGTGGGGGCTGCCCCAAATTAAGGCCAGGGCTCTGCCTGGGCCCTCCTCTGCCCTGCAGTGCCATCACCCCCAGGATGGGCTGGCAGGTCAGGTCACCTTTCAGCCTCACCACTGCAAACACCTCACCCTGGGGTGCGTTGCTGTGAGAGAGGAAAAACCCTTGGCCAGATCCCAGAGTCCCTTTTCCCAGAGCTTCCCTCATGCCCAGCAGCGCCAGTGTTGATAGTGTGGGACACGGTGAAGATACTGCTGGGGTAAGAAGAACTCCCCAGTTTTTGTCCAAGAGGCAGAAGCTGGTCAGTCAGGATCCCTCAGGAGTTTGAATGGCAAATGATTCCCTTTAGTCCTGATTCTGTTTCCTCCCCAACAATCGTGTTTGTGAGATGGACAAAACCCCTCTGGGCTTCAAGTTCACTGGACTCAGGACTAATCACACCTGTCCCAAAGGTGGCTTTGGGAGCCCTCTTTGAGAGGACTTTCCCACTTTGAGAGGAAAGCAGCCCTGTCCTGGGCTGCATCCAAAGGGGTGTGGGCAGCAGGTGAGGGAAGGGATTCTCCTCCTCTACTCTGCTCTGGTGAGATCCCACCTGGAACACTGAGTCCAGTTCTGGTGTCCCCAGTGTAAGAGGGACATGGAACTGTTGGAGCAAGTCCAGAGGGGGCCACAAAGTTGATAAAGGGACTGGAGCATCTCCCCTATGGAGAATTGTTCCCTGTGAGGGGGGGGAGGCCCTGGCACAGGTTGCCCAGAGCATCTGTGGCTGCCCCATCCCTGAGAGTGTCCAAGGCCAGGCTGGAGCAACCTGGGATAGTGGAAAGTGTCCCTGCCCATGGCAGGGGATGGAACTGGGTGAACTTCAAGGTCCTTTCCAACCCAAACCATTTCATAATTCCACGACTTTCTCCTGATTTCTGCACCCAGATCTTGGGATTTCTTTGGGAAGGGAAAACTGAGGTGGAGCAATTTCCCAGGTTAAAGTTGCAAACCTTGGGGGATGTTATTTGCCAGAGGGACAATGACCATCTGCTTCCACAGGGAGGTTTCTCTCAGGGAAGATCTGTCAACAATCCCCTGCTCCAGCACTGGAGGCCGGAGAACATTCCACAGCGGAATCTTTTTGATGCATTATTCATTTTTTTGGGAAGTAAAAACAGGGGCCTGACAAAGGCTAAAAGCAACCTCACACAACCAGTTCTGTCTGGACACCGAAATCTTTATTTCCTGTCACATTGATGGCACAGAGGAGCCACCTGGGAATTCACAGCTCTGGGATGTAGCACCAAGGGGACACGAGGGCAGAGGGTGTGCATGGAGGGAGCAGCAAACTGGGAAGGCAGAGCTGGGCTGGTCCTGCTGGACCTGGAGCTGCCCCAGCTGTCACTTCTGGCCGGAAGGGAAGCAGCAGCTCTGCTTGGACTGGTGGGATATGCTGGGGATGACGATGGGGCACTTCTGCTGGGAGGACTGGGAGGAGCCTCCGCCACCACCTCCAGAGCTGATGATGATGGTCTGGCCCGAGGAGCTCCCAGATCCTCCCCCGCAGCATCCAGAGGATCCTCCACCACCTCCGCCTCCAATGATGATCTTCCCTCCTGAGGATCCACCACTGGATCCCCCACCGCAGCATCCAGAGGAGCCTCCTCCTCCTCCTCCTCCTCCACCCCCAGAGCTGATAATGATCTTCTGGCCTGATCCCCCACTGCCCCCCCCGTATCCTCCTCCTATCCCGTAGCCACCACCAGATCCTCCCCCGCAGCATCCAGAGGATCCTCCACCACCTCCACCTCCAATGATGATCTTCCCTCCTGAGGATCCACCACCAGATCCTCCCCCGCAGCATCCAGAGGATCCTCCACCGCCTCCTCCTCCGATGATCTTCCCTCCTGAGGATCCACCACTGGATCCTCCCCCACAGCATCCAGAGGACCCTCCTCCACCTCCACCTCCAATGATCTTCCCTCCTGAGGATCCACCACTGGATCCTCCCCCGCAGCACCCAGAGGACCCTCCACCGCCTCCAATGATGATCTTCCCTCCTGAGGATCCACCACCTGATCCTCCCCCACAGCATCCAGAGGACCCTCCACCGCCTCCGCCTCCGATGATCTTCCCTCCTGAGGATCCACCACCGGATCCTCCCCCGCAGCATCCGGAGGATCCTCCTCCACCTCCACCTCCAATGATCTTCCCTCCTGAGGATCCACCACTGGATCCCCCACCGCAGCATCCGGAGGATCCTCCTCCACCTCCACCTCCAATGATCTTCCCTCCCGAGGATCCACCACTGGATCCCCCACCGCAGCATCCGGAGGATCCTCCTCCACCTCCACCTCCAATGATCTTCCCTCCCGAGGATCCCCCACTGGATCCCCCACCGCAGCATCCAGAGGAGCCTCCCCCTCCTCCTCCACCGCCAGAGCTAATGATGACCTTCTGGCTGCCACCGCCGGATCCTCCTCCGCAGCAGGATCCCCCTCCTCCCCCTCCTGAGCCCCCGCAGCAGGAGGAGCCCTGGGACTGGTAGCTGGAGGAGCTGCCCCCGTGGCAGCAGCAGCAGCAGCTGTGGCACCCGCCGGACATCCCATGGCAGCTTTGCCTGGAGCACATCTCAGCAGCCACCCTGCAAGGAACAGGTCTTTACTCAGGGCAGCCACCACCCTGCCGAGGATTTCCCGCAGCAGCCCAACAACACTGTCCAGAATCATCATTTAAAGCCTTTTATCCCAAAGCTGTTCCGTGTCCATCTCTACACTGGTGAAAGACTTTGAGGAGCACGGGATGATTCTGCTGCGTCCACAGGAGATCTAAATCCGTGTGCCCTCCCACCTCCACCCACCAGGCCAACTTCACCAAAGCATCTCTGTTTTGCAGGAAGGGAAGAGGAGAATCTCTCCGTGGGGCAGAACTGGACTTACCCTTCTGGGCTCTGACCACGTTCCCCACAGAGCAAAGCTGAGCGAATGAAGCCCCGGGAGATCCACCAACTTTTATATTGCTCTTCCCAGGTGGGAAGTGAGGCATCCAAAGGAATGGTGATGGGTTTATTTACTGAGCAGTGTCCTCCTTCAGCCCACTTGTCCTGACTCACGGGATCAGAGCGATGCCTCTCCAGTGCATCACTTCCTCGGCTGCGCCGCAGGTCCCGCACGTGAGCTCCGCTCCCGAGGTTGAATTCCCAGGTAGGATTCTGGAACTCGGGTCAGCACCCTCCACTCCAACCAGGAGACGCTGCTGGGGTGGGGACTGACAGCAGAAGGGGCTGTGGAGCCTCCTGTTCGTGGTGTGTTACAGGCTGGGGACACACGGGGGGGTTGTTGGGGTGTCCTGTGCCAGGAGTTGGACTTTGATGATCCCCATGGGTCCCCTCCAGCTCAGGACATTCTATGATTCCATGATTCTCTGCCCACGGAGATGCCCAGGGAAGTGGAGGGGTCTGCACTGGGTGGGAGTGGTGCTGTGGGGGCAGCAAAGGAATCTCCCATGGCTGGATTCCCCACTGCCCCAGCGGAGGGTGGACCATGACTTGGGTTTGACTCCACCACTGGGGACAGGGCAGAGGTCAGGCAGGTTTGATGCCCCCTCTGGGAGGAAGGGTGACACCTATTTTGGAGAGGAGTTAAGTGCTGCAGGTGGGAGGTACCTGGTCCAACATCCACCCTGTGCATCAGTATCTTGGTGGAGAGTGACCCAAAGCAGGAATTCCTCCCTGTTCCGGAGCAGCAACAGCATTTAGGAACATGCTGGGCTCCTGCTGTCAGGCTGAGAGCCTCTGAAACTTGGCTCCTGGTTTCCCTGGTCCTGGGCCATTTCTGGGTGCAGGGGTGTCTGACAGCAACGCTCCCACCCCTCTCAAGTGGGACCCCAAACCTTCCCTTAGCACTTTGTGGGTAACCTCAGTGTGCAGCTCTCAGTCACTGGTGTTTTAGCACCCTGGGACTTCCCATAATGAAATCCCAGGAAACTCAGCTATTCCTGTGGCAACTCCAGCTGGAGGAGCTCACTTGGACATGGTTTGAGACTGGTTGTACCCCTGAGGTCCCCATGGGGGAGAGGGTAGAGGGACATGTAAGATGTGGAGGAAGGTCACTCCTGCCTCTCCTGGGACACCTCCAGCTGTCCATCATCTGCCTCACACACAACAGTTCAGGCAGGGAAGGTTCATTTTCTTTCCCTGTTAATTGCCAGAATCAACCACATCAAAGCAATCCCTTCCCACAGGGAAACTCCCTCTGAAGACTCATCCCCGGAGCTGTGTTTTAGCCCTGTGGGAATGAGGAAACCCCTGGTTATTCCAGAATTAGAATCCCAAGCCCTTGGAAGGGGTTTACTGAAGTCCTGGCCCTGCCACTGGCTCCACTGGGGGTTCAGAACTGGAGAGAGGGTTGGAGAACCCCCTCATTTCTTTTCCACAGCTCCTTGGGGCAGCTCTGAGCACCACGTGTGGGGCCTCAGCTTCACTCACACCTGTAATAGCACCTTTGGAGCACTTTCTGCTACTCTTGGTAGCAGAGGTTTTGCATCTTCTCTCTCCTAAACCATTTAAAACTTCCTTGGGCATCACCAGACTTTTGGGTGAGGTAGAGGGGCTGCACTGATTAACTTTGTGGTACCTCCTCTGACGGGCAAAAGTCGGGATCATCGCTGGCAAGAGACAATAAAAGATGACCTAAGAATATTTAATGAACCCAAAGTTTTTTTTACAGGTGGGTTTCCACGTTCTGGAGCTTTATTGCAACAGCCTCAGCTCAGAGTGAAATCCTGGTGATGGAAATAAAGCGACCAGTGTCAGAAAATCCAACCACTCACACTCAGGAACTCTTGAGAACTGCAAGTTTTATTGTCTTGTGCAAGCACCAGAAAATCGAGGCAGGGAACAGGCCCCTGGCTGGAAGTCAGGGATACACAGCACCAGAGCTTCTGCTCAGCTGGAGAGCGGGATGGAAAACTCCCAAGGGAAAGGAACCAGCAATAACTTAAACTCTTAAATTGAACAGAGGAAGAAATGTGAGGCTCATTCATATCTTGGACTTCCTTGGTGTGAGAGTCCAGTGTGCAGCCACTACTTGCGTTTGATCTGGGGTGGAAAGGAGATGGGCTGGGTCTGCTGCTGGATGGACCCCCCCCCAGAGCTGGAGGAGCCCCCTCCACCACCTCCCCCGATGATGCAGATGGACCCCTGGCCTTGGTGGCCTGAACCACCTCCTCCTCCTCCACCTCCACCACCTCCTCCACTAATAATGATGGGTCCTTGTCCCTGGTGGCCTGAACCACCTCCACCACCTCCTCCTCCACTTCCACCCCCAATGCAGATGGGACCCTGGCCCTGGTGACCTCCACCACCACCTCCACCACCTCCACCACCACTAATAATGATGGGTCCTTGTCCCTGGTGGCCTGAGCCACCTCCTCCCCCTCCACTTCCACCCCCAATGCAGATGGGACCCTGGCCCTGGTGGCCTCCACCACCACCTCCACCACCTCCTCCTCCTCCACTAATAATGATGGGACCTTGGCCTTGGTGGCCTGAACCACCTCCACCACCTCCTCCACCACCCCCAATGCAGATGGGACCCTGGCCCTGGTGGCCTCCACCACCACCTCCACCACCTCCACCACCTCCTCCTCCACTAATAATGATGGGTCCTTGTCCCTTGTGGCCTCCACCACCACCTCCACCACCTCCACCACCTCCTCCTCCACTAATAATGATGGGGCCTTGTCCCTGGTGGCCCGAACCACCTCCACCTCCACCACTACCACCCCCAATGCAGATGGGACCCTGGCCTTTGTGGCCTCCTCCACCACCTCCTCCACCACCCCCACTGCTGCCTCCCTCAATAATGATAACGCCTTTGCCCTGCTGGCCTGACCCACCTCCTCCTCCTCCACCACCTCCACCACCACCTCCGCTAATAATGATGGGACCTTGGCCCTGGTGGCCTGAACCACCTCCACCTCCACCACTTCCACCCCCAATGCAGATGGGACCCTGGCCTTGGTAGCCCCCACCACCACCTCCTCCACCACCCCCACTGCTGCCTCCCTCAATAATGATGATGCCTTTGCCCTGCTGGCCTGACCCACCTCCTCCTCCTCCTCCTCCCCCTCCGATGCTGCCACTTGGGATGCAGATGGGAATATGGCTCTGGTGGCCACCTCCACCTCCTCCCCCTCCTCCTCCTCCTCCTCCTCCACTGATAATAATGGGACCTTGGCTCTGTTGCCCTCCACCTCCTCCTCCTCCTCCTCCTCCTCCTCCTCCTCCTCCTCCTCCTCCAATAATGCAGATGGATCCTTGGCTCTGCTGGCCTCCTCCTCCTCCTCCTCCTCCTCCTCCTCCTCCTCCTCCTGCACAGGAGTGGATCTGATACACGGCCCCACCGCCGCTGCCGCCTCCTCCGCCGCAGCAGCCGCCTCCTCCTCCTCCTCCTCCATGGCAGGACGATCCCTGGCTCTGGTATCCAATGGATCCTCCTCCACCGCTGCTGTGGCAGCAGCAGCATCCTCCTCCTCCTCCTCCACCGCCGTGGCATCCACCTCCTCCTCCGCCGCCGTGGCAGCCCCCGGACTGCTCAGACACCCCTTGGCCATCGCCCTTCTGCTGGTGGGAACCCATCGTCCCAAATGTTGTGGAGTCCTCCAAGAGAAAGGAGAAAAACAGGCCTGAAGAACATCCAGGGGGAGGGAAACTTGTGTTTCTTGTGCCACCCCATCCCCTCCCAGTGGCAGCTCAACACAGGGTCCACACAAGGCCTTGGCTTCCCTTTTTGCTCCCTCCCTGGCAGCTGATGCAAAAGGGTATTTTCAGCATCAGGAGTTAACACATTAAAAGGAAAAGCTGGGAAGTTTTCAGCTTATTCCATATCAAGTCTTCTACAGAACTGCCTTATCCATATTTAATTTCCCTTTCTTTATCTAGGACAAGTGCAACCAGAATAATTCCTTAATAATTCCCTCTTGCAGCAGGTTGTCAGAGTGACACTGCAAGCGGCACACGAGGCCCTGGTGCTCCAGAATTACCCTCATCCAAGTGTGGTTTGGGAATTTTGAAGGGAATGCTTGGGGATAGGGATTAAAATTCCACAGCTACAAGAAACAAAGAACACAGGTCATCATTTGCATAACAATAATTTGGTTGAGCTTTGAAATTCTCCAATCTTGGTCTCAAAGGAGCACAGTGAGTGCTTTATTTCTTCCTAAAAATGAGAAGGAAGAGGAAGAGCCTGTGGAAAAGTTATCAGCAATGCAAAAGAAGGGGGAAAAAAGCAGCTGCACCGAGTTTCAGCAGCTCCAGGTCACTCTGAAGGGTTTGATGTGTGTCTGTGCCCAAGGGATGCTCTGAGGTTTGAGCACTTCTTTGGTACTTGAATCCCCCCCAACCCACGTCCTTCTGCTGGCAGAATAATTTCTCTTCCTCTGACAGGCAGCTCTAAAATGAAAGGGATCTACAGGTCAATGGGCTGAGGTGTCCAAACTGCTGGAGGACAAAGTGGCTCCTCCAAGAAAAAAACCTGGTCAAAACCCCAATCCTTTCCCATTTAGACAAAAGGCTGGAAAATGAGAATAATCTCCCATTTTGTGTTTCATTTCTTTTGTTTCCCACTCTT